AAAGGAATTTATGAAATTTAAACACCTTAAATACTACTATATCAAACAGATGCAGCATTTACTTTACTTCATCTCCAAAAGAAATGCTAGGGTCATTATCAGATTTAAAATGGCAGAGTATGTTAGTCTAAGAGATAATTGATTTTAAGAATATTTCAAATGTCCAGCCTTGATGTCTAGAGAGTAATGGCCTCAATGAAATAGTCACAACATTTGAATTTTGTTTTATAACTCTGTGCTTCAAATATGAGCAAACTGATGCACTAGGCTCACAGAATAGCAAAATTAAGTTAGATGCCAAACATATGTGTTTGGGTATTTGTATGTTATGGGCTTTAAAAAGAAACATTGGAGGTGGCTTTATTTGGAATTACCTAAATTAGTGGCAAACTCTTTTCTCTTTGTTTTGACATGGGATAGCTTTAAAAAGTTCAAAATGCCATCTACAAAGACTATATGATTCTATTAACACTTGTCCCTTTAAATTCTATCTTTACAAAATATATGTCATGCTCCTCAGAACTTTTGCACTGTGTTATCACCTAGAGAAGTTTGTCAGTTATTCAAGATTATATTATGTAGCTCTGCAACTTTTCACAGAAATTTGTTACAAAGTTTCCTTCCCTTTTGTTTCATGTTAGGCAGAGTCACTTCCTTTGTACTGGTTTCCATGTCTTTCTGTAAGAGACATAGCCAAATAAAAGACTATTTTTGATATATTTATCTTATTAGGTATAAAAGACAGCTGGACATTAAGGTCTAATTCTCCTAGATATGCTTGAGCCTTCCAAAGAGTTTCCAGGAGCCAATCAGCCCAATTTATTCAAATTGGCATATGGATGTTGTTACATCATCATGCTCTTTGTGCACCTGGCTTGAGAAAAAAAAAAAAGAAAATCTACCAGGAATTTGAATTAAAAGGAATAGTCCTCATTTTACTTAAACTGCTGTGCTTACGAATATTATGTGTCTGGATGATTTACTTTGCTTTGCGTGAAACCTTTAAGGACTGTGGCAAATATACAGCAGAAAACAAAATGATATGGTATTTCTCATTTCAAAGCAAGGGTAAAGATACACTCACAGAACACAAACCTCAGTTGGTTCTGTTAGGAAAATAATATGTATTTTTAAAAGATAGACCGCTATTAGGTTCTACTGTGTCAATACAATGCCCCTTGTTATATATTTACCCAGTGGTTTTTAGTGAATTCAGAGAGAGAATCTTAACATTATGATCAATCAGGTCAATTACAGGGTTGGGGTGGGGTAAATGATACTATTATTTGCATGATAAACTCTCTTTCATTCCTTATACTGCTTCAAACCTGCACCTGCTTATGCAGCTGCAGAAAGAAAGAAAGAAAAAAAAAAAAAGAGCAGCAAAAAGCAGAGTCTTAGAAATATTATAGTGAATTACAATGACAGGATGGGGTTAAAAACAGCAAGATTTTAGGTTATGAAGTTTATTACACCTACCAGCTATTAATCTATATTTGCTTCTGCTCAATTTCCCTTTGCTAGAGATGTATGGAGGATATATTATAACAAATACAAAAACAGGTGTTTCATAATATGATAAAATGGAGTCTTTTCGAAAACTGTGTCCAGAAAAGTATCATAAACACATCTCCACACAGGTAAGCAGAACAAATGAGACTACTGAACCATCAGTAATGCACTTCTCAAACTGATAGGTGCTCTGTGAGACAAAGCTTTTAGTCCTGAGGAAAAGGGGCTGGTGATCTGTTGCTTAACATGTTTCAAACTGTAAAAGCCTTTTTAATTTTCAGACTTTTACTAAAATGGAGACTACATATATATTCTGTTTAAAAAGAATATGTTGCCACACATTACAGATCTCATTCTATCTCATGATTCATTACATTCTTAGTTCAAAAAATTTACATAGTTCAAAAAAAAAACACAACAAAACTAAGAGACTTTAAGTTGAATATTTAAAAAAATATGTGTGTGTTTTAGATAATATATTGTGTAAGTATATAATAAAAGTTACAAAATTTAAAAAGTTAAATAAGAGTGAGGCAATTCCATAATTACAAAATATTTCTAAATGTATAAATAATCAATTTCCTCTACCTCAATTACAATTGACACACACATACAATACCGAGTTCCAGCTAAGATGAATGAGTCCTTGGGATCAAACTTATCTTCTAGTCTTAACTATAAACTGAATGAAAAGCAGTGGTTTTCAGACATTGATAACAAAAACATAGGACTATAATCTTTCAGCAAATGGGGAGTAACAAGAGAGCCAGAAGATTCTCTTAACTCTTGCCTAGGGGTACTTTTTGTACTAATGTTCAGGAGGGGGAAACCCAATCAAAGCATTAGAGCTTGTTGAGTTAGAGAGATAGAAGTTGATGAATAAGGAGGAAGAAATGGCTGGAATTTACAGGTAAAGTAGCCAAGACAGGAATCAATAGTTGACCCTTGAATAACATGGAGGTTAGGGAAGCCAACTTCTGCATAGTTGCATAGTCCACATAAAATTTTTGACTCTCCAAAATCTTAACTCCTAGTGGTGTACTGTCAATTGGTAAAGCTTTACTAATAACATAAACAGTCAATTAAAACATATATATTATATTCTGTATTCTTACAATAAAGTAAGCTAGAGAGGAGAAAATGTTATTATGAAAACCACAAGAAAAAATACATTTATAGTCCTGTATTGTATTTATTGAAAACAACCTGAATGGACCCACACAGTTCAAACCCAAGTCATTTAAGAGTCAATTGTATACAAAGAAACAGCTTCAAAAATCTGCAAAGGAGTTCTCTTGATATATTTGCTGAATGATAAAATATACATGTACAGAACAAAGAATAACAAGGATGTTGGAAGCTGAAAAATGAAATGAACTCATATAGAATTGGACATTAATTTCAGTTCTAGCCATTTAGAATGATGATCTTCTTGGAACATCTGGAATATTCAGTATAGAACTGGGTAGGGTCACAATTTAGTAGTTGGACTAAAGTGTATTTCAATTAAAGACTACTCTAGACCTGTCCTAACAAAGCTTAAAAACAAGCTTTGCATTGTTAAAGTTCAAGCTTCAAAACACTTTAAAGGAGCATAGTAAAGGAACATTCAACAATATTAAATATGTGATGTCCTACATCTGATCAAAATTAAGAACCACGTGGAACTTCTACATATAAAAAGTACAATATTGAAATTAAAACAATTCTGAATGGAATTAATAGTTACCACAGAAGAAAGAATCAATCTACTCAATGACAAAGCAATAGGAACCACCAAAGTAAAGTACACACACAAAAAGTACTAATATAAAAAGAAAACAATAGAGATTCCATGACCAGTGGTGAAATAGTGAGCCATCTAGCAGATATATAATTATGGATCATAAAGGAAACAAAGACCTATAATAGGATAAGAACAAAGATAACCACACTAAGGCCCATTTAAAGAGTTTTGAGAATCTTAACCAGTCTCTGTCCCCAGCTTGCATGGAGCTGGATGCCAGGCTCAATCTCATGACCCCAAGATCATGACCTGGGCAGAAATCAAAAGTCAGACATTTAAACAACAGAACCACCAGGCACCTCCACATGAAGGCCCATTTAAATCATAGTGCTGGAATTAGTGGTAAAGAGAAAAATCATAGAAGCAGAGGAAAAAAAAATGAGAGCATATGTAAAGAAAAGACAATTATAAAAATTCTCTCTCTCCCTCTCCCCCTCTATCTGCTCTCTCTCTCTCTCTAAAATAAATAAATTGTAAAAAAAAAAACTATTTACTTCAAAATTTCCACTTGAATATTTATTGCAATTGTAGTCATAATCATCCCCAACTGAAAATAATTCAAAATTGTATTCAGTGGTAAATGGAAGAAAAAACTGATACATCCATAATTGAGATAACATCCTGTAATAAAAAGTAATGAATTAGGACACCTGGGCGGCACAGTCAGTTAAGCCCCTGCCTTCAGCTCAGGTCATGATCCCAGGGTCCTAGAATTGAGTCCCACGGCGGGCTCCTTTCTCTGCAGGGAACCTGCTTCTCTCTCTGCCTCTGCCTGTCACTCTGACCACTTGTGCTTTCTCTCTCTCATTATGACAAATAAGTGAATAAATAATATCTTAAAAAAAGTAATGAATTACTACTACACACAAACACAGATTTATCTCTAAAACACTATATTGTTTAAAATATGATGGACATGAAAGTGTTCATACTGAAATATTCTATTTCTATGAAAATTCAAAAAAAGGAAAAACTAATTTATAGTGACAGATATGATATCAATGATTACCTTTGTCTGAAAATTGACAGCAAAAAGTGATAGAGAAACTTTTTGGGGTGATAGAAATGACCTGTATCTTAATGTTATTTATATAGGAATATGTATTTCTTAAAAATCATCAAAATTATAAATTCCATTTCAATAAATTCAAGCAAAAATCTATAGTCAGAAAAGTGAACATTATGAGGAAGTATGTTGCGGTCATGTAACACAACTAAATATTTCTAGTATAAAATGGGATACTGTAATTAATCTGTTCACTTTGGCTGATAGAAACTGGTGGCCTACAAACTGCTAACTAGTACTACTTTTATATATTTTATTCCCATTTTAAAACACATGTTATTAATCAGAAGTGAAATTTGTTGGAGTGTCTGGTTGTCTCAGTCAGTAGAGCATATGATTTTCGATCTTGAAGCCATGCGTTTGTGCCCACATTGTCAGTAGAGTTAAAAAAAAAAAAAGACAATTTGTTGAATTTATAAATAATTGCCATAACTTATTATAAATTAATTCTAAGATATTCTAATTTGAATGATAAATGTCCATTCAGTACTTTTGAGCTACTCTAACAAAACACCAGAGCCTGAGTGAGTAGCTTTTTAATACAACAGAAATTTATTTCTCACAATTCTAGAACTGAGAAGTTAAAGATCAAGGCAAAGAAGTTAAAGATCAAAGCAGAGCTGGTGTCTGGTGAGAGCTTAGTTTCTGATACATAGATGACCATCTTCTTCCTGTGTCTTTACATGGCAGAAGGGGCTAGGGAGCTCTCCAGGCGGTCTTCTGTAACGACATTAAACCTATTCATGAGGGTCTCATACTTAGGACTTAATCATCTCTCAAAGTCCCTATATTCAGTAATGTCACATGGAGAATTGATTTCAACATACAAATGGGGGTTATAAAAATTCAGTTGCTAACAACACGTAAATATTGTCACTAATTATGCCAATACTTACTCATCCTCTTGTTCTCATTTTTGTTGTTGCTCCTGAACAGTTTGATCCATTTCTATTTAATTTTTCTTGGTCTGCCTCTTATCATCTCTTTGTAAGTAGTAGCATGTGTTAGCATTACATCAATCCCTATTCTCTGTAGTCTCCGGGTTTGTCTGCTCTAATCTGAGAACTGCAAAGCACGCTGGGCACGCAGGATTCTATAAACCCCTGTGCTAAGAGATTTGAACAAACCCTAGCATGCCTTCCAACTGTTTCAGATGGAGTCATTAGGAGGATCCCACTCTCCTTTAAAACTTGGCTTGAGAAAGCTCAAGTCTGCCAAAAGAATTTGCTACTTGTTCCAGCTAAGAACTCCCTGTCCTAGAGCATTTATTTTTTAAAAAGCTTCCTCTGTTCTTTTGATAAATATATGTATGTATCTCCTATAACCCAGGAGTATCTTTCTCAAGGACCTGGAAGCCATGCCTTTGAAATTTCTTTCAGAAAGGATAAGGACTCTGTCTCCCAAACTTTATTGCAGAATAAAATTCTACCTTCAATACTGCCAGGTAGCAGACCCAGCTATCTGAATGGCTTTTACACTGACCAAGCCTTCATAATTTTTCACTTCCCTGACCAGACTAAGCCTCCACTTGTCTCTTCTCTAATCCCTCATTATCCCATAAAGCACCCAGACATCTTTGCACAAATCTGAGTCAGTCACAAAACTTTCCCCTATTGCCAGTAGTTGTAGAATAAAATATGTTTCCATTATTTTAGTTAATGTCCAGCTTCATCTTTGACCAACTAGAGTTAAAATGATGATGTAACACAGTAAGTTAAACATACAAATGTTTCTTCAAAGTGGACTAATAAGTCAATACTATCATGGACACCATCATCAAAATTATTCCTATTTCTAACTTTAAATTGTATTTATAATGAGTAGTTTACTCAAATCAGTAAAGAAAATAAAATCAAGTTTTATTAAAGTTTATAACCTTCAAAATTCACTTTATTGAAAATTCATTCAATAAATTGTTATTGAACATTTTTTAAAAATTGAGTTAATATGTATAATACGGTTCTTCCTGATTGTAAGCATTTAAGAATATTGGTTGACTTTAAATCATTTCTTATTTGCTAGAATCCAGTAAAGGTAAACATGACTTCATTAGAGAAGAGAAAAAGAATAAATAAAACATTCCTGAAAATCACAAATAGCAATGCATTGTATATTATTTAAAAGGCAACTTTAGAATCATATTACTATTCTTAGAAATTGTATGATGTACATGAATTGTTTCATAAATTATAAGAAATAGTAACTAAAAATAGGAATAAAATGATGACAATTGTTTTTACAAATTTTAGCAAACACAAAATTCTTTAGGAATTTTTAGAACTATTAAAAATTATCCCAAGGTTTCAAAGCAATCAGAGATAACTAGTCTTCCTCTTTGCTATTTTGCATTTCATTCTAAATCTTAAACTTCTCCTAAGTTTATTATTATCTTAAACTTCTCCTAAGTTTATTATCTTTTAAATATTTTCTATATTTGCATATGTTTCATTTTAAAATGAGCTTAAGCAGGTTAGATTATCAATTTAGAATTTTTGCAGTAAATAACAATCTAGATTTACTTTTTTTAACCTCAAATGAGAATGCCTTTCATCTTCGTCACTGAAAATAGATGATAGATAGATGATAGATAGATGATAGACAGATGGATATTGTGTATGAAGGGCAATCAATTATTATCGGAGAAAAATAACCTAGGTATAGTGATTAAAATAAAACATTTCTGAAGATAGAAATTATAATTGCTTTACTGAACTTAAGCTGCACTTTATACTCTGAATAAATTAGGCCATTATTATTCTATGTTCAAATTCCTAAGGGTATCTTGCCTTTGGTTTGTATCTATTTAATTCAGATCAGTTAGTGAACACCTTTGGTTAATGTCATGATATTTCCATTATAAAATTCAAACTCTCCTGAAAGAAGTGTGTCAAGTTGCTACCCTTCAGTGAAGGTGCATTCCATTAAAGACTCTCTGCTTTTGGAGATTCTTTAGAATGTGTTTTAAGAGGAGAAGTTATTAAGAAACACTGTACAAATGTGCAATTGATTCATTGAATCTATTTCTTGCTAACATGTGCTATTTTTGTACATTTATCGTTTCTAATAAAGTCTTTCATATTTTTTTTTCTTTTTCTTCATTTCACTTGTCCTGTTCTAATCCATTTTCTTGCACTCTCATATCCAATGTATTTACCTGTCACACTTTTATTGTTTTCCAATGTGAATCCTACAAAGAAGAGCTTTTTCAGTTGAATAGAGCTCACAGCATTCATTATAGCCAATCAATTGTGCAAGTGGTTAATGAATAATCAGAATATGGGAAAAATTATCAAAATAGAAAAGAGTAATAAATATAAATGAGACAGGACTAATCATTCCTTGAATATTGCCTGGATAATACTACTTTTGATTTCATACAAAATGAAAATTACAAAACATTTATCAATTTGTTTTATCCTGAATGCAAATGTCAGATCATATAGGATATTCTTGGGGATACAGAACATAGAAAATACTAGGTGAAGATGGCCTGTATAAAGTTGAAGTCCTAAATTTAGAGTGAAGTCATAAGGATTTGGGGCTTTAAACATTTCAGAAATCACATTGAGAAGCTTTCAAACACTGTTGTGCTTGAAAGTTTATTTTTTCTTAGTTTACCAAATTCATGGGCAAGAATCCCACTGAGAACAAAAGTATTATTATTCATTAGTTCATTTTGTTGACCTTGAGATGTCAGCATCATGTGTATAGCTAGCAATATTGTAGGTAAATAAAAGAAAAAAGCAGACAGAGAAAGTAAGTAAAATGCATAAGTAGGAAGAAATGCTAAGAAAAATGTTCTTTTCTAGAAGCTTGAAGTAAAGATTAGATTATAGTTTGCAGCATCAAGGGCACATAGGAATGGCATGCAATGATCATGATTTATGGAAGTATTTTGGAAGGTGGAAAATCAATATATATTCTAAGAGTTCTGTTTTGCCCAGATTAATCTGAACTGCTCTCTCTCTTTTCATATCACACTGGCTTAATTGTGATAGTGATTTTAAAGTATATTCACATACACCCACAATCATACGTACACATATATATCAGAATGCTTTATTCTAATTAAAATACACATTTATGAATTAAATATATGAATTCATGAATTAAATATAAAAATCACTTTCAGAATACTCACATTTAGAGTTTTGAAATTTGAATAGGTTAATTGAGTGTTTGGTTGTGGAAATTTTAAGAATTAAAATTAACAAATCACTAGTCTATGTTTAAAATGCTCTGGATTGTTAGGCAAAATATAACTCCAATTCTGACTTCTTATATTTAAGTGAACCCTCCATTTTTTTGTAGGACTTAGCAAAATTTATTAATGAGACAGTAAGGTGTTCATGAATTACCTGTTAGCCCCAAATACATAGGCAAGAGTGCCAGGATTTGGGGATGGTATCTACACTCATTTTGATAGAGTCAAACCAAGAAAGAAAGACAGGTGGTAAACTAACTGATCCTAATGCACATCTATTACCAGCCATGTTCATCTGGGGATGTGGACAGAACATTAAATTCTTATTTTAACATTTTAACATTTAACATAGATATATATACACACATACATATATATAGAATATAAAACAAGTCAGTTATTGGGAGAGTAAAATACAATAAGAAATCTGTCTTACTTAAACAAAGAAAATGTTGAGAACCCCCCCACGTAAAATACAAATAGATGATAGAAAGACAGACAGATTGATTGATTTATAAACTGCTTGTATGGTGTTTTCAGTTTGGGCTTTAGACAATAGTGACCTTGGTCATCCCCTGAGTGTTATAGTCAACCTCTTCATTGAGTTGTTGACAATATTGTTTTATCTAAACAAAATATATATTTGTATTTTGTATAACACATAAGTGTTTCCTAAATTAAATATATATGGCAAAAAAGTGAAGCAGAAGCAGGTTATGTGACTGTGTTTGTTGTTATGAGATGGTGAGGCCTAAAAGGACTCTTTGGGTAAAATTAAAGTTTGTTTAGAAATTAAAGTTAATTTTTTAAAACGTTCCTTCCAAGAGCTTTTTATTACTAAGTCAAGCATATCTTATACATTATTAAGGAGCTAAAATTGTTACATACTGCTCAGCTATCTTAGCATGAGTTTAAAATCAAGTCTAAGAAGTTTGTTGGCATGAGAAATTTATTATTTTTATCCTTAGAACCTATACATTTGGATGCTAAGTTGAACTTGTCATATTTCCAAAACTTACATGAATATAAAATGTCCTTAAAATAAGCAGTGCTTTAATATTTTCCTAGAAATACAAAAAAATACCTATTTTGGTGATTTTATTATGAATACCTATTCATTTTATAATACAAAATGCATGTGAAAATAATTATTGAGCAAAAATGTATAATATAAACATCTGTCAATAATCACTTCTTATAATTCAGAAACTGATATTTTACTACTTCCATTAAAATACAAAATGAAACAATCACCGTGTTTAGTTAATCCTCTGGTTACAAGTATAATCTTTAATGGACTCTATTGGTTATTACAAATATAATAGATGAATATTATAGATAGGTGTATGTTGATAAAGATATATAAATAGTAAATGCAGAAGTAACAAATTATTATTATTATTAAAGAAATAACTAATTGTTTATTCAAATATGAATAAGAGTTAGAATTTAAATAAATCTAAATGGCTGTTATGAAATACATCTGCATGTATCATACAAAGCAGTAAATGAGCAAAATGTCTTGTTAAACTATTTCTTTTTCTCCCAGACTGTGTGAAATCATTAAATAATAGAAAAAAGAAATGATAGAGTGAATCATTTCATGACATTTGCAAGACAAATTCTGAATGTATCCCTCAGCAGGGTGTAGCTTAGATCTGATATGTCATATATCAGCATTTTATGCTCCTTAAAAATTTTAAAGAACTTAACTGCCTTTCCATTAGTAACTTGCACTTTCACTGGAAATGTTTTGAATTCTCTTCTCTTTGTGTTTCAACCTCCTTGCATCCACACCTAAACACTTAAATAAGTCATATCACTTGCAGTTGATCATTCAAAAGTCTCTACCTTCTTAAAAAAAGAAATGTTAACTCAAATTTATATAATAAGATCTCTATACATTTCCAAATATTAGTTATCTCTTTAACAATGATAAATTCTTAAAATACCAGCAACTATGAAATTTAGTTGAGTGGATTACAACTTTGGTTTCCTTCCAGTCAAATGGGGAGCCCCTACTTCCTCAGGTTGGGAGGGGGAGTTTTTGACCCTACAAGGTTTGTACAGTAACCATCATGGCAGCCTTTCTCCATGGTTGGGGAGGGGCTTGGTTGCTGCAATGCAAATACATTACAGTGAGTCTAGGACTTGCCCTGGGGCAGAAGTGGAAGAGGAGAACATATGCTTTGCATTTATGGCTCTTGTTCTGTCAGCTTCAAGGTCTTGGAAGCCAGAAGGTCAGGTTGTAGTGCCCCCTGTCCCCAAACCCAGGGTTTTAATTTATTTAATTGATTTATTTCTTAAATTTAATTTAATCTAATTTATTTGTCATAGTCCTTGCCTCCAGCTCATGTCTCTATCATTCCCCTTCAAGGACTTGAGACTCTGCCTCCCAGCATTCCTTCTCCTCTGATCTAGCTTCTCAGATCTAGAAAAGAGGTTTTATTTTTTTTTAATTTTTTAAAATATTATTTATTTCTTTATTTGACAGAAAGAGGGAACACAAGCAGGGGGAGTGGGAGAGGAAGAAGCAGGCTTCCCGCTGAGCAGAGAGCCTGATGCAGGGTTTGATTCTAGGACCCTAGAATCATGACCTGAGCCGAAGGCAGATGCTTAATGACTGAGCCATGCAGGCACCCCAAAAGAGAAGGTTTAAATAGAAGGTTGAGATTGAAATATTTGTATGTGCATTATTTAAAATTCATATTCTAAAAAAATTAGAATGAATGTATGAATAAATAAATAAAACATATTCCACTGCAGAATCCATCATGGGCATATTATCCTTCATAATGGAACACACTGTAGGTATAGGTTCTAAAACATTGCAAATCAATAAATACCAGTTTTTCATCTTCATTCGTGAATAATACCTCATCTAAGTAGAAAATTCACTGGTGGCAGGCTTCCCCCCCCATTTTATTCCACTGTCTTCTGATGTGTATTGTTGCATGAGAGGTATCAGAGCAAACTAATTTTTTGTTTCTTTGTTCTTGGTGTTAACTTGTGCTTTACCTGTCTGGGAGCTTTTCCAGATTTTCCCTTCCATCTTAGAGTTCAACATTTTTACCAGTATTTCCGCTCAACCCTGCTGAAATGAAACTAAATTAGCCTTTTTAATCTTCTGACTCAAAATCTCTTTAAGTTCAATACAATTTTTTATACTATTTTTGTGAAGTCCCTTGTTTTCCAGCAGCTTTTCCATATTTCTGAATGTTCGTCACTTGCATTTTAAGTTTATGCAGTGTTCTTCAACTTTCCTATCTTTTCTTTCTTTTGTTATTCCCATTTCTTTGTATTTTGTAGTGTTCATTCCACTTTGTCTTTCAGGACACTAATGTGGGTCATAATATTAACATCTACTGGAACAATTACATATAGATATCTTACATTTTAAAGGTATATTTCTATTCCACAAATATTTGTTCTAATTTAGAACTTGAAGTGCTCAACTCTTTCCCCATTTTCTCCTCCTCCTACTCGTCCTACTCTCTCTTTTTTTTTTTTACACTTAAGTATGCTATTTATTTTCCTTCTTTTTTTTTTTTCCCCCAGTTAAGTGTATGTCACTTTTTTTTTTTCAAGGTTTTATTTATATTCCAGTTAGTTAACATATAGTGTAGTATTGGTCAGGAGAATTTAGCAATTCATCACTAACCAACAACACCCAGTGCTCATCACAAGTACCCTCTTTAATCCCTATCACCCATTTAATACAACACCCACCTACCTCCTCTATAGCAACCCTGTTTCTTCTCTATAGTTAAGAGTCTGTTTTATCTCTCTCTTTCCTCCCAATGTTCATTTGTTTTGCTTCTTAAATTTCACATAGAAGTGAAATTATATGTCATTTGTCTTTCTCTGACTTACTTCGTTTAGCATTATACTCTCTAGCTCCACCCATGTCTTACAAATGACAAGATTCATTCTTTCTTATAGTTGAGTAATACTCCATTACACACACACACACACACACACACACACACACACACCACCACCACCTCTTTATCCATTCATCAGTAAATGGACATTTGAGCTCTTTTCATAAGTTGGCTATTGTTCATAATACTGCTATAAACATTGGGGTGTGTCTGCCCCTTCAAATCTGTATTTTTGTAGCCTTTCTTCCTCCTTTTTTTTTTTTCCTTAATCTTTCTCCTCCTTGTTTTCCTTCTCTTTCCTCCTTCTGTTACTCAATTTGTTACCTGTCTCCTCTGAAGCTTATTCTACTAACAATGACTTTTTTTTTTTTTTACCATTTTGATTAATTTCCTTTATGTGGCTCCTAGGTCATCCATCTCAGTTTTAAAGCTGTTTTCTTTGTGCATACTCAAACATAGTTTGTGCTGGCTGGCAGATAAAGATTTTGGTCTTCAGAAGTGTAGCCTCTGTTCCATCAAGCCAGCAATGAGCCAGGCTGTGTTCTTTAGTGCTCTCCAGGTGTTCAACTGCCAGAATTAGAGCTCTATTCCCTCTCTCTCTATGGGTCCCCAGAATGCCAAATGCCAAGGTCACACTCACCAGGTGTTTTTTGCCAGAAAACAACTATTACTAATGGAATACGGAAGTGAGGGCAGGAACATGTATTCAAAATAAAGAAAGCAGCTTTCTGACAGCATAATTTTAGAATTATTCGGTATCTTGTATACACATAGCACCTTAATTTTATTGATAACATTAACTGTAGGAATATTTATTAAACTCCTAATATGTGCCAGTTGTACAGAATACATTGGAATTGAGGCTTTTATAACTAGAAATAGGCAAATGGAAATAGTGCTTTATGCATAGTTATTGCTTCACAAAAAATATTAAAAAGAGATGTATTAAAAGTCAGTGATTCAATGATATTGTTGTGGATGTTGCTGTGCTCTTTTTTTCCTGTGTGAAGAGGTAAAAAAATACAATAATTATCAGCACAGTATTGTGCCTGTAGTGATTCAAATTAAGATGCCAGCACTTTTATTTTTCTTTGTTTTTGTACTGTTACTGAAAATGTCAACATAGTAGAAAAGGAAAAACGAGTCTTGTTATAATTATGAAAATAGTTTTGACTTGGTGAACCCCCTTAAATGTCTTCCCTAAAAAAGGGAACTCCAAGTATCTGTGAACCACATGTTAGGAATCAATGTCCTCAGAAATCTTAGGTAACATCAAATATTGGCACCAAGTTAGGGTGAGAGATGGTTTGTGGAAAGGAAGGAAAACCAAACAAAACAAAAAAGCAACCAAACCAAACCAAACAAGATAAAACCAAATAAAAAGGAAGTTGAAAGCTTCTGACACATTTCTCTGACTCTCAATTTTGTTCTTATTAATTAATGCTGGATAATTTGTAATACATTGCAAATATGAATATTTATCACAAGCATGTTTTACTGATTTTTTGCACTTTAATGGATTCCTTTCTAAGATCTATAATTCCTAGACTTCAAATTTTATTTAAATATATACTTTCTTTGACTCCATTAGTCTCCTTAAGGAAAACTACTTTCACAAATTATTTATGCTGTAAGAATAACTGCGAAGAAGAGTTAAATCATTGAGATCTTAACTTTTTAACCCCCCTCCCCCCAAAAAAGCAAACAGTATGCACCATGTTTAGTCTAAATAAATCTTTTCATGGGGTGCCTCGGTGGCTCAGTTAAGTCTCCCATTCTTGATTTCTGGTCAAGTCATGTTCTCAGGGCCCTGAGACCAAGCCCTGCATTGGGCTCCCTGCTCAGTAAGGAATCTACTTCTCCCTCTCTTTTTGCCTCTCCCCCACCACTTGTGTTCTCTCTCACACTCTCTCTCTCTCAAATAAAATCTTGAAGAAAAAAAATTGAGACCCAACCTCATACTGACTGGAAGTATCTCATTTAAATATAGACATAGATAGATTTAAAGGAATGGGATGGAGAAATATATTCCACACAAGTATTAACATCCAGAAAATAATTTAAAGGGAAATTAAATAATAATATAGAGTCAATTCTACAGGAAGTTAAAAAAATCCTAAATGTGTATTTACCTAACAACAGAGTTTTGAAATATACTAGGATAAAATATACACATTTAAAAAATGAAAATAGAAAAATCTAAAAGTGTATTTGGAAACATCAGTACTTCTCTCAAAAACTGATAGAATAAGTAGGTAGAATATCAGACAATTTGGTCAAATTGACATTAATAAAATATCTCACATAACAGCAGAACATATTCTTCTTAAATCTGCAAGAAACAATAACCATGGTAGACCATATTTTATATCATAAAATAACTTCTAACAAATTTAAAAGAAGAACAATTATACAGAGTATGTTCTTGGATCCTAAATGAGTAATCGTGGACATTAAAAACAAAGATATTTGAAAAACTAACTCAAAATTATATGTACACTTATGCTCATTGAAGTATTATTTATAATAGCCAAGATAGGGAAGTGACCTAAGTGTCCATATGTATGAATCGATAAAGAAACTGTATGTTATTTAACCATAAAAAAATCAAATCTTGCCATTTATAACAACCTGGATGGACCTTAAGAGCATTATGCTAAGAGACAGGGAATAAGATAGGAAAAGATAAATATTGTATGATCTCACTTATGTGCAGAATCTGATAATAAAACAAAACAAACAAACAAACAAAAAGCTAGTAGATATAGAAAACAGATTGGTGGTTACCAGACACAAGGGATAGGAGACATGAGTATAATTAAAAAGATATCTGGGAAATTTCCAGATAATTGGGAAAAAATTCACATCAACATAACCCATATGTTGAGGACAAAGTCTAAGAGAAATTCAAAATATTTTCAAATGAATAAAGGTAAAAACAAAATATATCAAAATGTGTCAATATAGCCACAGTATTGCTTAGAGGGAAATTTATGTCATTAAAAACTTGCATTGGAAAAGCAAGATCTAAAATCAAGTAATCTAAAAGTCCACCATAAGAAACTAGGGAAAGGAGAACAAGTTAAATACGAAGCAAGTTGAATAAGGAAATAATAATTAAAAAAAAAAAAAAAACAGAGTAGAAATCAATAACATTGGGAAAACCACAACAAAACAGAAGACAGGTCTTTGAAAATATCAGTATTATTGATAAGCCTCTAGTAATGCTGAACAAAAAAAGAAAAAGAAAAACACAGAATAAAAAAATTATCAATATGAAAAGTGGAAGAAATGACATTATTGATCATATGGTATTTATACAAAAAAATCTTATGTCAATAAATTTGACCACTTATATAAAATAGGCAATTTCTTGAAAACCTCGAACTACCAAAACTCAATCAAGATGAAATACATAATTTAATAATTCTATACTTACTAAATAAATTGATTTTTGTTTTTTTGGTTAAAAAACCTTCTAAAAAAGAAAACTCCAGGGCCAGAAAGTTTCACTTTACATTTGAATAAAATTTAAGGAAAAAATTAGTACCAATACTTCATAATATGTTCCAGAAAATAAACAAAAGAGGGAATACTTCCTACATATTTCTATGAGGCCAGAATAATACTAATACCAAGCAGATACAGATAAACTATATACTAATATCTTTCATTAATACACACACACAGTGTTTGAGCCTGCAAATGCATTCTCAACAGGGTAAAATGATGATTATAGAAAATGAATCTAACAGCATGATTTAAAAAATGATAGGTGAGATGGATGGATGGATAGATAAATTGGTAGGTTGGTATATAGATTAGATGATAAATGATACATACATACATACATACATACATGCATTCATATATAGACAGAATTTAAGCTCACTGAGAGAGGTGGGGAAAAAGACTTGACCCATGTATTTTGGAAAACTTGTGTGTGTGTGTGTGTGTGTGTGTATGTAAACTCTAATGTTAAATACAAAAGAAATGTATGTAAACACTATACTCTAGTTAGTGAATTTCTTTAGCACAGGGATACAGATTAATACAGCAGCCCCCTTATCCAGGATTTTGCTTCCCACAGTTTTAGTTACCCATGGTTAAGTGTGATCTGGAAGCAGATAATCCGCTTTCTGAATATCATCAGAAAGTCAACAGTAGCCTAACACATCACAATGTGTATGCCATTCCCCTCATTTCCTCTCAACATACAGGCATTTTATCATCTCATATCATCACAAGATGAAGGTTGAACAGAATACAATAAGGTATTTTGAGACAGATAGAGACCACATTTACATAACTTTTATTATGATATATTGTTATATTTGTTCTATTATTAGAGATTATTGTTAATCTTTTACTTGGCCTAATTTGTAAATTTTATCATAGCCATGTATGTATTGGAAAAAAAAAAAACAACAACAACATTGTATATATAGGGTTTGGTTCTATCTGAAGTTTAGACATCCACTGGGGGTCTTGGAACATATACCCACAGATAATGGGGGACTCCTATAACTCTGAAACTGCTTTTAATTTATGTAGTCTCTAAATTTGGTTTCAGAGTCAAATGAAATGATCTTCCACCTTATTCACAGCTTTAATAAAATATAAATCAATAATCACATTTGGCACATTAATTTTAAGATATTTCTTGAAAATTGATTTTTGGCTAATGGAGAGAAGGAAAGAACAACCTGATTTAGATGTAATATAGTTAGGCTTCCTCAATTACTATTCAAAGAAATTCCAGGCCTTGATACGGAGTGTTGTCAAACCTTCTGCTTGACAGCAATTTTAGAAGCTGCTGACAAGTCACAGGGTAATGAGCTTTTCCTAAACCTCATCTTATACTAATGTCATTGAATTAGCTATAGAAAGATCAGTGTTTATGTGTGTATTTGACTTGAAATTGACCCTCAATCCTGAGAAATATAGCCTATTATTAAAACAAAATTGACAAACAGGAAAATAATATGTGAGATAATATTATTTTTTATTGCTTAAAACTAAAGCACAAGATGATACAAGATGAATAGCAAACAATGTGAGTATGGAGAATGACACAAGATGCATAGCAAATAGTGTGAGTAATAGAATCAAATTACACACATATAAAATGAAAGAGATGAGGGATTTTTTTTTCCTTTATAATGATATAACTAATCATATTTACTACAAACCTACAGCAATCATTCTTAAAACACACTTCTAATTTAAGAATATGTGCTACACAGACTTTATGGTGCCATCAAAATCTTTCTGTTATAAGCCTGTTTCCTCATCCTCAACCCTAATTGTTTTGACAAGGTTAAGGGAAAGATCAATAACTTCTAGGAAGAGATAACTGATATTTAACTGAGAATATTTTTCCACATTAAACACCAGAATTGTGGTTCACCATAATAATAATGCATATATATATATATACACACACACACACACACACACACACACACACACATATATATACATATATATATATATATAT